TTAAACCAAAACATTTGGACTTAACTTTAAAAGTTCACTATCTCAATAGCAACTTAAACAAAGCTGGAATTATCAAATTATTTCCCTGCGTAGGTAACCTCAATATTTGGTTTTAGCTTTACCATAAATAAATAATTCTATAATCCTACAAAGTCATTCTTAACCACTTGAACTACTGGGGCAAAGCAGCAATTTCAGCAACTTCTAAAATTACAAGAAGGCTACCATTTAGAACATTTACAGTCACACAGAAAACTCAAAGTTAAATGGACTGGCACTAACAAGCTTCAAGTTTACCATCAATTAAGGTTGTATAAGTAAAAAATAGTGTCTTCTAAAGACTAATTCTGCTAAATGAAACCAGTGGAGTCTATTCCTTTTATTCAGAAGTACCATACTGCTAAATAGTCAAGTCCACAGGAAAATAGATTTCAATAGTTGCAACTTGGTGCATCTGGCTTTTGTTGGCCTTCCTTATCCAAGAAACATAGATGTCTCTCTTTACTTAGCCCATCTGCCTCAAGTGATAACCCGATGCCTGTGTGACTATTCGAAATTTTTAAAAAGTACTCTCCCCTTCCAAAATCTAACAGCAGAGATGAGTCCAATGGTTCAAGATCAAAAAGAACAGAACTTCAATGCTTCAGTAAAAAGCCTATGAACAAAAGAAACAAAGCTTTCAAGTGATCTAATGGTTCACCTTTAACACACTACCTAGTACCACTGCTGACAGCACCTGCTATGGTATCTGCTAATATTTTTTTTCAAATCAAACTGAAGTTCTAAGTGCTTCACATTTAATTCTCACAGCAACCCTGTGAGGTAATATTAATATTAATTCCACAGTGCGGATGAGGAAACTGGGGCTCAGGACAATGAAAAACACTCCCTAAGACCTTACCATTATTGAAAAGCCATGATGCAGAACACTGGCAACTTGTAGCCATAGTCCATACTCTCAAAAGTTATACCAACTCTAATCCCATTTATCAGGAGGAAGAGTAACACCCTATTTTTTGGAACTATTTAAGTAATGGAAACAAATGGTTTACTTTAAGATATTCTAAGTACCCAGAGCTAGGGAGTTACACCAAATCATACCAAGGCCAATATCTACAGATAGATACTTATTGTGCTAGTCATAATTCAAAACTAACATCACCCACATATATCCTGAGAAAACTCTGTCCTTAACTTCATCTGATTTTCAGTATTCTTTATTAATGGATAATGCTTCATGGTAAAAGTAACCTAAAACCACACTTTGTGCTCCCTTTTTTGATGAAATTTTAAAGTTTAGTTATTGACTCTCACATGAAAGTATATCTGAACTGTGCCAGAAATCACCTCAGTGATTTTTAACATTTAATAGGATCCCTAGCATAATATCTAGCATAAAACCAGCCATGTAAACCAAATTGCCCTTTAGTAACAACAAATAAGACCAGATAAACAAAACTTTTGTTGTGACCTGATTCCTTTCCACTAATAACATAATACTGGAATCTTGTTTTTTCACAACTATACAAAAACCCACAACTCCATCTCTCTCCTAAAGAAAAGCCTGCGTCATAATACAAAAACCAAACTTGTCTGTCTGGCCTCAAAAAGATCTTAGATATGTATATAGACTTTCACCCTTTTGAAATATCCCAAAGTGGTAGTCATATGATGACAGCAAATCCTGTATCTGCTCAAGTTATGGCAGCCAACCATTGTTTTTATTGTTTCAACTGGTTAAAACAAAGCCCTAGTCATGTTTTAGAAATTTTGGCTGCTTGTAACTTGCATCCCTAGAGCCACGAAAAAATTGAAATTTTAGGCATCAAGAACTAGATTCCAAAAAGGTTCTCTTCATCCACTGGATGAGTGCCTGAAGCAAAATAAAAATAAACATATTTATCATCAAAATACACAAGGATACAAACAATACACTGTGATGGTGACTCATAGACCTGACCCTCAAGAAACTTGTGTTTTAGCAGGCAAGATGACATCCATACACTAGTAATTACAATACTAGGCAGTGTGTAACAAAGTATTAAAAAATTCAAATTTGCGTCTATAGTGTTTTGTTACCCATGTTTTGTCATTTCTCTGGGATAAGTGCACAAAAAGTACCTGAAGGGAAACATATATTTCATCCAGCTTTACACACCTGAAGAGGCAGCAAGCATATAAAAGGTGCAATAAAATGAGTATAAATTTCAGAAAATCTTTATATTAGTCCAAATGTCACAGTACAGCTAAATATTCAAAGCACTACAAAGTTTTGGTAGTGACCCTATGAAAACATTTTACTGTAAATTTCTTCTAAAATCAATTTAAACTTTATTTTTCATAGCAATAATTTCATCACATGGTCTATGATGCAACAGAAGGAAATCAATCACCAGGTTATTACTGGCCTCCTTTACTTAAAAACAGAATTCACCTACTCAGCTAGACTGTACAGTATTTGCTGATTAAAATAACATTTCACACCGAAGGTAAGAAATGACATGTTCCCAAAATATTCAGCTATGTTTTGCTATTTATTTTACTTTATAGCAAATTCTGCATATTCTATACATAGATACATTCTCAAAGATTTCGGTGTAACAATTTCCCATGTGAAGAAAAATGTGCAAAATTCACTTAAGCAGTTCCCTCAAATTTGGCAAAATGTAACTTTATTCAAATACATGCAAAATGATCAAAAAGAGTTGTATTAATTTTTTAGGATAAGAATTAAAATATATAGCAGACTCTACATTACCCTTTTACTTTTAAAAGAGTGATTATATCTACAACTCCAGTATTACCACTTGGACTTCTAAAGGCCTTTTATTTTGAAAACTTCAAACATTTTCCCATGCCTTATTTCAATATGATCTTTTGATTCTTGGATAATTTTCTTACCTGTTATATTTTCAGTCAATAGTTATTCAAAATGAACACAGGTCATCTGATATGACCACTCCAATTCTCCACTAAAGGAGAAAAATTCAGAAGGAAAATAAAACAGATGAAGTAGCATTAATGAAAGTATATACAGGCTAAGGGCATATATTGAAAATTCCATTAAAACAAAACAAAAAAACACCAGAAAAAATACAAATGGTATAAAAAATCATTTTTGCTTGGAACACAATTAAGTAAGGAGAGAAACTAGGACAATACCAAACGATAGGAATGTTTGGGCAGAATGCAAAAAAAGCAGAAATTGTATTATTAATAAAGGTGGAAGCTAGGTGTTGATCCCCTCTCACACTCAAAATGGACAGAAGACTCAGCAAACAAAGTCCAGGGGAAGTGAGTCAGATGGTAGCCCTGAGGTCAAAGGAGTTCATTAAGTCTCATATATACTATGAAATAAATCTTGGGAGTCAATATCCACAAACTCAAGTGAGGTCATCTCAGAATATCATTCATAGAACAGCCATATTAAAAGATTAAACAATAGCATTTGATTCATTAATCCAAAGACCACAATATTGACTTTTTCTTCTTAAGAACGCAATTCATTTCCCAATGTTCACATTTCCCATTCCTGTTAAAGGAAACCACCCACTTCTTCACACATACATTAAATTACTTCAACTGGAGACACCGAACCTCAATTCCAGATTAAATATAAATACTTAAAATGAAATACAGGACTCAAAACTCCTATTCTGGCTATTCCTCATTTAGGAGAGCCCATAGTAGCAGGTCATTACAATTACAATACATTACATAACATGAAAAGTGAATACATAGCATGAAAAGAAGTGGGACTGGGGGTCAAGATGACACTTTTTTCCTTAAGAGAAGTCAGTCTTAAGCAAAAGAAATGGAGGACAAAACATAAGCTGTGTTGGACATAATTGCTTCTGTAACAATTTCATTTTCATCATTAATCTTCAGTTTTACATAAAGAGCTTTGTTCCCACTGACCACAAAAATGTTATTATTGCAGTATGTATATGCGACCTTTCCAGTGTGCCACATAAAAGTCTCATTTACTGACCTAAAATGGTTTAGGAAAGTATAAAACCGTTAAGTAGTTTGTAAAGCTAAAAAGAGAGCATAAACTAATGAATAATTGGGTATTTCAAACTCTGAATAATTCTTTCAACCAGATAGTGTTAAAAGTCACTTTTCAATTTGAATGAACTGCCATTTTCTGAGACTTTGAAAGAGACAGAAAATGTTCTTAACCCTAAACACAGAAGCTCACACTAGTTACTGCCAGTGTCGCTTTGGATCTGCAGGTGACAGATGCAGTCGGAGTTCACAGATGTGGACTCGCTGCAGTTTGCGTCTTATTGCAATAAGCACACTGAGAGAGCCTGCAAATGCACATCTCCTCAGGAGAGCTTTTTTAAAAACCGTCATTCCCTATTCGATTTATTTTTAAGGCTCTTATTGGCTATTACTAAGCTATTATCCCTACTCTCATTCTTACCCTATCCTACCCACAATTCGGTCCCAGATCCTTATTCATCAAGCCTAATTTTGGTTCAGTAATAACAATGATAATAAACTGGGGCTGTTAACACTGGCAGCACCAGGCGCCCCTGAAGCCGCTATCTGGGAGCCTTCCCGCTGCTGCAGAGGCCACTTGAAGTTTTCTGGGAAGCAACGGACCCCAAGCATCTTTGCAGGGTTCCTCTATTCCCAGGTTGAGGGTTCCACAGAGACAGACGGGGAACTCCCTTCCCGGTCTTTCCCAGCGGTGGTTTACCCCACACCCGACTCGATAAAGATCCTAGGCAGGGACGCCCCACCCCCACCCCGTTATCCCTAATGAGATGCCCCCAAATCATTCCCGGTCCTCCTAAGACTGGTCCCTCCCTCGGCCACCGGGCCAGTTTCCCACATCTCGCTCCTCTCCTCCAGTCCCCGCCCCCGCACACTCCACCCGCAGCGCGGCCCTGGCTCGGCACACGCCCGCCCGGCGACCAGACGCCCCGCGGCCGGCGCTGGGGCCGCCCAGTGGCCCGCCTCCCCCCGCCCAGGATCGCCGACGGGGTTACCGTGGGAAGACGGGGCGGCCGCAGAGGACGCGGCGGCAGCGCTGCTGCCGGTTGCGTCGGATGCGAAGGAGAAGCTGGAGCACAAGAATGAAGATGAGGCGGGCGCGCTCCCCAGTCTCCATGGAACTCCCGCCCCGGCCCGTTGCTAGGAGCCCCCGAGGCTCGGGCTCCGTCTTTCGTGCTTTGTTGTTCCGGGTACAGGGCGGCCCCTGCTTCCCCGCGACAATAAATAGACCAGACGCGGAGGAGCATAGAGACGGCGCGCAGGGGCTAGAGCGCCACCGGACAGGGCGCTCTGGGGCTCCTCGCTAGCCACTCATTTCCGGCTCTCTCTGCTCCCGTCACTTTTCCCCGCCCCTGTCCCCTTTCCCTTTTCCTCCTTCCTAGTACCAAGAGTCCGGCCTCTCCTGACCTCAGGTTTAGCGAGGCTGGCGTGACATGGGGCGATGTGTGGTCTTTGGCCGGACTTTTTTTTTTTTTTTTTTTTTTAAACTTGAGAATCGCTTGAAAAGATTGTAAATAATCCGCATCCCTCGTATATTTTTAGTTGATTTCTAAACGTGTAATTTCTGGGTACTTTATACATAAATGGACTTTAAATTTTTGTCAAACCTCAGAACTTTCTTGTCCGTTCAATTTATGCAAAATGCCTTTCGTATCACGATTAAAGTAGTCTTTAACCACTAAACGATTCTGTCACTATTTTAGTCAAACGCGTTAATTTACGACGTCGCGATAAAGCTCTTACTGAGAAATTCGAATCCTAGTCCTAAAAGAGAGCGGCAGGGGATGATAGAAGGATGGAGAGAGAAAAATGGACGGATAACGAGGGAGCTTATGCCACTTCTGCCGCCTGTTCCTTCGATAGTCCTTACTCGGGTTTACGGTCCAAGCTCTCCCTCGGGCGGGGGCGCTTCGGAGGCTTTTGCGCAGGGTAGCCGGATGCCGGAGTGGGAGGAGGGAGAGCGCGGCTGCCGGCGGCGACCGGCGCTGCGGGGAAGCGGCGGATCTGGCCGGTCGGACTTTGGGAAGGGGCTCCCACTTAAGCGGGGCGCCTGGAGACTGAGACCCTCCTGCGGTTCTGCGCCCAGGTAGCCCTGCAGCGACCCGGGGAGCCCCGGGCGCACACTCGCGGGTTTGAACGGTCGCACCGGGACCCGAGTGCGATCTCGGGGCTCCTCGGGGGTGGCGGAGAGGAGCTGCCCGCGGGAACGAGACTCAACGGCCCCGGGAGCGCCGCCGCGTGGAACCCCGCTCCCAAGCGGGCGCGGGTCTCAGCTCCCCCAGCTGGCCTGCAGCCTTTGATCCCGGCTGAGCCAATGGGTAGCCCCGATTTAATTATTAAAAGACCATGCATGAGATGGATTCATAGGTGCCTGGCTTCCGATTGTTGTGAATCAAGAATGCAGATGGAAATGCCACTGAACATTTGAAGAAAACACAGGCAGAATTCTGAGGGGAGGTTGCAGCTACTGGGGTATTTAATTATTTATCGGATCTCCAAGGATACCTCTTGATCTTTTGCTTTCCACTGAGTGTGAAAAGCACTTTAAAGCTCTGTAGACCGATTGGATTTGTTTCGAAATCTAATTTTATTTTTAAGGAATATTAAATAATTGTATCTTGTCTTAGATAGAATGAAGAAAATAAGAAACTGGGTTAGAAAATAATGTTTGTATTGTACTTTTCAACCTATTTCTAAAAGAATGGGAGTTGGAGGGAAGCACATATAATGTTCCAGGCAGAGTGAACAGGATATGTGAGAGCTTGCTGTGCTGGGAAATTAGCATGGCTAAGGCATCTGGAACATGGGAGAGAGAAGAGTGACAATAGAATTTGAAGATACATTAGGACCTTAAAACCCGGCAGTACCCTGTAGGCCATAAGAATAGTTTGGGTTTTCTTCCAAGTGGTAGGAAAAGTAAGGTTGTAAGGTAGAGAAAAATATGACCTATTTACCAAGGCAAAGGCAGGAGCAGTGGAATGCTCTATTCCAGTAACTATTGCCACTGCTGAAAAGTCCATTTTATAATGGTGACCTATTCCAAAGCCCTTACAAGACACTGTCCTTTAAGGAGACCAGCAACAAGATGGCTAGAACCAAGCATCCCAATTTCTTTGGGTTCCCTTTTGTCATGGATAAGTCAACCATTTTCTTCTCTACCATAGTTTCTCATTATGGAGGTGAATGTGGTTTCACTGCAAACGCCATTTTCTGTTAATAATAGACTTTTTGAATACTTATATGCTATCAACAACTATTTCTCTAACCAAGAAATTCACTTCAAATGAAAGAAGTAAGACACTGAGATAAAGTTCATAGGACTCATTGCTTTTTTAAAGTGCCCCATTATTCATATGCCAGGTAAGAAACAATGCACTCTAAAGTAGAATACACTATGTTCTAAGGCTCTAGATTAATATAGAAGTTGACATCTGGAAATGGGTAGATGGAAGGTCCAGTTCTAACATGTAGAATTGGTTTAACCAAGGTGCATTTGTAATGGTGAGGAGCCATCCATCCAGGCTAGAAAAATTGCAAGTATTATTGGTTATTTCAGTGCTATTGAAAATGTAATATACAGACCAAAGCCAATCTGCAAGCCATAGTAAGCAGCAATGTTATGAATATAGAATGTTCCTCTTAATAGAGGAAAATTTTAAAACTTTTAACAATTTGACATTACAGTGGCATCCAAGGAAGCAATTTTCTATTTATGAAAGCATTGGTGATGGGTTGGTAACTAAACAACAACAAATGAATCCTTTATCATAGACAGTTTGAGACATTGGTACATCATTTGTTATACTCAGTAAAGATCTGGCTTTAGGGAACATGACAAAAAACCAAAAACAAAACAACAACAAAAACAACAGGCTGTTAGGCTGTTGGGAAATGTTGACTGCTTCTTGTCTCCCTTAATGCTAAGAGGCGTGTGATTCAGCATGGCTTTTCCAAAAGAGACAGGCATTTAGTGGGTAAAAAACATATTGCATTGTTCCGAAGAGTTCTTGCTGCCAGTGGGTTAGTTATCCTATCCTGACATTATGGTTTGGATGTGAAGTGTCCCCCAAAAGCTCACATGTGAGATGGTGCAAGAAGATTCAGAGGAGAAATGATTGAGTTGTGAGAGTCAACCCAATCAGTAAATTAATCCCCTGATAGGTATTAACTGAGTGGTAACTAAACTGGTAAAGTGTGGCTGGAAGAGGTGCAAATTAGGACATGGCTTTGGGATATATATATTTGTAACTGGCAAGTGGAGACCTCTCTCTGCTTCCTAATCTCATGTGAGCTGCTTCCCTCTGCCACACACTCTGCCATGATGTTCAGACTCACCTCAAGCCCCAACAAATGGAACTGGCCTTCTATGACTAAGACTTCTGTGAGTCCTCAAATAAACTCTTTCTCCTCTGTAACTGTGCTGGTTAGGTCCTTTAGTCATAGAAGCAAAAAAGGTAACTAAAACAACGGATAAGGATCATATATCTGTTCTGCCAGTTGGAGTAACTAAATTTCTGCCTCACATAAAGTTATTACACTAAGTATGAGAATAGAGAGTATAGAGTCAGGGATGCCTTGTTCCTCAGGATTCTCCCCAAATATTTTCTGTTATGTTCCTTCACCATAAAGATAATTCCTCCCATTTTGTCACTTGAGTGGTGAACAACTTAGGGATGGAGTCTGATGCTATGACCTGGCTTTATAACCCAAACATGTTTTCTCCTCCTCCCCTCAGAGAATCTGTGACAAAAGTCACTGAACTAAGATCTCTCAGAGATTATCAAAAGTTGCTCGGCTAGTTTCAAAGAGGTAGAAACAGGAAGGACAAGGTCCATATTCAAAGCTTATTTCTCAGTGAGATTTTTGATAAGAAGCTAATGGATTTCCCCAAATGACTCTGACTGGCAGCCAAGTGAACTTTTAAGGTATGACAGAAAGTCTTCAACCTGGAAAAAGTTACTTACTCTTGAACTTTCTTAAAGGCGATGTCCCAGGCTTCAGATCTACCATGTCCATCCTTCTTACTACATATTTAAGGCAGTGTCTTTGAGACGAGGGAAATCTTGGAATTTTGATGGAATAACCAAAGATCTTAGTTGTCTGCTGGAGAAGTGCAGTCTTTCTTTTACTGTTCTTGACTAGCAGGATATGGAATATCCTTACCATCATTGCATGCTGTTTTTACTTTTCCCTTTTCTTATTAGTTTTTGTCCTGTTTTCCCCTACTTCTCATATATTTGTGCACTAGTGATAATTTTTCTAATTATCATTTAGCCTGATGTGGATCTGATCAGAATTGACAGCACTTGAAGCTCCCAAATTTAGGGCATAATTCAGTAGCTGGATGTGATTGAGTTTTCTACTACTACTGTAGTAGGACAGTTGCATATATTTGCAATGGCAAATGGAATAGTTGATTTATATTAAGAGGAACTAGAGATATAAGGCAAAGGTATGTGTGTGCATGCACATATGTGTCCTTTTGTGTGTGTGTTCATACATGCCTTGAGCAGCCAAAGAGTGAAATGTAGGGGAAACTTTTCTTTATTAGCTTAGAACTCATCTCCTTTTTGGGAAGAGTGTTCTTCTCCCATGTTTTGAGGAGCTACTTCTCTCTGCCTAGCCCAAACTGACTATAGTGTCCTTGGTGATTATAGAAAAGTATGTTTTTGATCTAAGTTGGGCCAACTATATAGTATCCATGCTGTAATTGATTTATTGCCTGTCACTTCCAAATTCATTGTTCTGTGAAGTTGGATCTGGACTCTTAAGTTCTCTTAGTAAAGAATGATGGCTAAATATTGAAATAAGAAAGTTCAAGCATGTCCGTCAGACAGGCTCCTGCAATAAAGAAGTCCTATCTAGAATCCACCTTCTGCAGCACAAGTGGTTTTCCCAGCCCTATTCAGGGGTCTAAAGGATAGTGGTAAAGGAAACTTCTATTTGGCATAATTCAGAGTGTTTGTCCAGCATATCAAGAGTGAGAGATCCAGAATTGGCAGTTGCTAATGTGTTTATAAGGTTAAGTCTTAGGAGGAATGGGATTGGAAAGTAGGTGGCAAGGAAGTCTGGGGAAAAGGCAGACTTCTTCAAATGGGTGCAAACTGTTAAGATATTTATGTCCTAACTGAAGACACACCAAAGGTATATGCTGTGGAGCAGACTGTTAATAGCTAGGTGGATAGAATGGCACACCCTGAAGATGTCAGTCAGCATCTTTACTCAGTCACTCCACTGCCTGATCAATAGACCTATGATCTGCCGCAGTCT